ACCAAAAAAGAACCCCACACATGGGCACTCCCCAAACCTATGGGGACGCCCTGAATCCCATCCTCTGCTCAGGGACACCAGGTGAGCAGGCTGTGGAGGCTGGCTGTCCCCAGTGAACAGGCCTCAGTTGCCAGCTGGGAAAGGAGCATCCTGCAGGGGACCAGAGATGGAACTGCTGCTCCCCACTGCTGTCCAGTTCTGTCTACCCCACGTGGCTCAGAGTCCCAGATCAGATGCACCCGCCCCAAGGCCCAGAGAAGGGACAAACTCCCTTCTGCCAGAGGTCCTCATCTAAGTTCTGTCTGGTTTCCTGCACACTGCTCCAAATGCCCAGGGCCACAGGCAGCGATGACCACAACGTGCTCTGGAGCGGCACTGAGGAGGGCTCCACCACAAGAAGGAGAAAGTGAAACCTTATGTGGTTAAATGTTTGAGGCCGAGCACTTCCTGCAGTCTCACCGCAGTGACCGGCACAGCTCGGCACATGCAGAGCCGCTCCCGGGAAGCACTGTGGTCCTCTGTGCAAATGGAGTTCAGGGCCAGCCTTGGCCCCAGAGCCTGGCAAGACACACCTGGTGAGGCCACACTCTGAGCTCCCACAATAACTGTCTTTTGTGGGAGGCGCTCCAGGGGCTCAGCCCTCCTGGCCCTGTAGAAAGGGACAGAGTCTCGCCCAGGCACTGGTGTCCTCCCCAGATGTACAGGGAAACCAAGGGACAGTTGGGTCCAAGAGCAGTCTGGGCTCCTGAGGCACTTCCAGGGACTGTACTCAGGAAAGCAGGCCCTTTTAGCCAAAAACATTTAATTTAATTTTAATTTAAAGCACATAAAACATGTCCCAGAATGGGTCAAGGTCCTTCCACTGCCCCAGTGGAAACAAGGGGCAGACGAGAGGCGACCCAAGGGCGCTTCCTGCTTTGCTGGTCTGCAGGAGACACAGCCGGGCCTCTCTGCCAGGAGCCAGTGGCCACACTCTGCTCCGCGCCTCCAAGCACTGGGAGGCACCCTTCCCGCAGGGCCACCACACCCCATGCCTGATTCCGGGCCTTTTCACCGCCCTGTGGGGGCCGACGCTGGCCAACAGGAAGCCTGTGGAACTGACCACCCTGCTTTATTTAGAAATCCCCAAAGCCGCTAGGCTCAGCCTGACCAGGCCACCAGGCCACTGGAATGGGGCTCCCATGGAAGGCCTCAAGTCTCAAACGGGAAGCCCGCCTGAAGGAACAGACATGGGGGCCCCTTCGTGGTTTTCTACCAAGTGACAGAAACGTCACAGCAAAGGGCCGCACAGAAGCCAGCAGGCCTGGCCAGGACCCCCGCCCCAGAGCTCCACATGGAGCCTCGGGGTTCTCGTCTACAAGATGGGAGTGATGCTGTCCTGGTGGCTGGCACAATGTAACTCGCCATCCACTCCCGACCACACAGACATTAACAAGGCCACAGCCTGGAACCCCAGAGCTACGACACTGAACACCTGTATCTGTGCACTCATATATATCTGCCTGTTGACACACACATACACGCACACGTAGGGCTCTAGACCTACAAACAAAAATACACACTTTTTAAATTTTTTTTTAAGCTGAGCCATCCTGCCACCTGTTGGCAGCTCAGCAGCAGCTCAGCTCGGGCCGGGACTCAAACTGCTGTTACTAAGAGCTCACACTCTTGAGTGAGCTCTTAACCAACTGAGCCACTTGGCAGGCCCAAAAAATACGCACTTTTTAAGCAGTCATGAAACATCCGACAAAATAACTTATGCTGATTATACACCAGCTCAGCAACACACATTTTACACTGTGTACTACCATGAGGCAGAGGTTCTCAAACAGGGGTGGTCCCGCACCTAGCAGACACCGGACCATGTCTGGGGACATCTGTGGTCATCAAATGGGTGGAACCAGGGAGGCTGCTCAACAATACCTCAGTGCCCAGGACGGCCCCCCACAGAGACTGACCTGGCCCCAATGTCCCCAGTGCCGAGGAGGAGACCCTGCTATATGGAAAAGAGATGCCTTTCTGAGGAGTTAAAAGTCAATTTTAAAAAGGAACATGGAGGAAGCACTGGGGACAGCACAGGGTGCCCACATGGGTGCTCCACTCTGAGGGCCAGAGTCCAGCTCAAGGAGGTCAACAGGTCAATCACTCTCGCCATCATGATAGTCACTCTCACCGCCAGGCTGATAGGCCTCACAGGTCAAGTGCATACAACCTTGGAGAAACAGACATGGACATGGCGAACTAGGCAAGGGCTTTTCCAGCGATGGTAACTTGCTCCACCAGGTGCCAGGGCAGGCACCACCAGAACTTCACAGAAACAGGACCCACACAACAATGCCACAAGGTGCAGCAGCCAAGGGGCAGAAGCCCTTCAGCCCAGACCACAGCGGGCAGGGGTGGTGGTATTCCCATGCAGCAGGACCAGGTGGCCTACAACTCCCACAGCTGGGAAAACTCAGTCTGTCCCTTGGTTTTCTCCCTATGAAATGGGGACAGTCCTAGGGGGGTGGAATGAGTCCTACCAGCAGGTCAGGCACCGGGCAAAGGGTGCTCAGTAAGGATGCCCTCCCTGCACTCTCACACCCCGCCCTGTCCTCTAGTCATCAAAGTCCTCCCAGCACGGTATCCTCAATCTGGGAGGATAAGCTGCCTGGTGGGATGTATTCCCAGGGTTCCCGAAGAAGTCTGGGGCCCAAAGCCTGCGGGATCACTGGTTGAGGCAGCACCTCAGGGTCAGCCCCTACCATGCACACCCCCTGGACTTTCGTCCAGCACTGAGGGCTGTTTTCCTCAGATCAGAACCCTTCACCTTGAACCTGAGAGCTCACATCTTATCCTATCTGCCCACCACTCCTAGGATGTAACCTCTGGAGACAGAACCCAATCCCCCCAGCACACTGGGTGCCTCTCTAGGGTTGCACAGCAGGGCAGAAATGGGACTGCAAGACACAGGTGCCCCTGCAGCCGACTTCCCATGCCTCTTTGGGCACTGGCTGCTTCCAGATCCCCTGCAGGGTTCCCGGGGGGCCTCCCAGCCCAGGAAGGCTGCAGACACACAGCAAGACCGCTGACCTGTGCGGCCTTGACCCACACATCAATCTGAAGCCTGGACATACTCAGGACAGGCAGCGGGGGCGTCTGGAGGCTCACGCAGCCCTCAAGTAAGGCCAGCTGATATTCTTAAGATGCCCCTAATTTCTACCCCCCTCCTCCCAAAATAAGCTCTACTGCCTACTGCAAAAACTGTCCTGTGCCACAAGGTCCTCCCAAGTGCCACTCAGACCCGAGTGCAAGTTTCCTCCACACTTTATGCTTACTCTCTGCCTGTCTTTTCTGCAAAGATGGACTATTTCATAGCCTTTAGGTAAATCAGAATACACGTTTGGAAAAAGAAAATAAGAGAAGGGAGGACCCGGGAGGACCCTGCAGACAAGAAAAGCAATGTGTTCCAGCCAAGACCCACCACCTCTCAAAGGGACACCAATGCCACTATCTACCATCAGACTCTGCGCCTCTAAACCCTCTGCTCCTCCTCCAGCCCCAGGCCCATCAAAGCTACCTCCAACCCTCCTGGGGAGTACAGGAATGAAAATAAAGCAGGGCTCAGGAGAGGGCACGGCCCTGGTTTCTGTTTTGTAAACGACCTTCTTGCCTTTGAAGGCAGAGGTAAGTCCTTCAACAGCCCTTATTTGGAGTGACAACATTTTGCTGATAGCTGGGCCAACGCACTCCATGCAACAGGTGTGCCCTGAGCAGATGGAGACTCGGACAAGAATCTTCCCCTGAGTGGGAGGAAGACCCAAGAAAACTGGCTTCCAGCAAGGCAGAAGGAAATGGTTTGGGGAAGGTTGAGTTGGCTGGTTCTGAAAACTCACAAAGGCTCCTTCGGGGTTCCACCCGCCCATGGCCTTCAGCTAAAACAGATCCTAAAAAGAGAGGAAAGACTGTCTTCTCCACAATGGGGTGTACCCCTTTCTGAGGAAAAGTTTTCCTGCAGAAAGAGGGAAGGCAGGGGAACAGCCTGAAGGAATGGGGGTGTGGGAGAGGGACAGGCCCTGTGTGTAGGTAACAGGGCTCCACCTAGTGGGAATAGTCGAGATGGGACCCTGGGAGGTGAGGGGCGCACCTGTGCATTACAGCCCAAAGGTCTGGGCCTGAACAGATGCTGGGGCCAGCCAGAGGGGACATTCCGTGGGGTAGGGACAGAGGGCCAGCCCTGTACAGGGAGGGGGCTCATCCCATGAGAAGGAGCAGACCCTCCAGGGTTCCAGGGGCCCCCACCTGGACAGCAGAGGCAGGGGCTGACCCTGCTGCGATCTGCAGACCTGGTGTGGATAGCAGAAGCAGGGGACTGGCCCTGGAGGGTTCTGGGGGCCCAACCTGGACAACAGAGGCAGGGCTGACCCCGAAGGGATCGGGGACCTGCCATGGACAGCACAGACTGCCTGCAAGGATCCGGGGTTCCAATGTGAACAGCAGGGGCAGGGGATGACCCCTAGGGTTTCAGGGACTCAACGTGGACAGCAGAGATAGGGGCTAGCCCTGAAAAAACTTGGGACCTCATGTGGACAGCACAGGCAAGGGCTGACCCCACAGGTATCAGGTGGCCTGGAGGTGGTCAGCATGGATGAGGCCAAGCCCTACCGGGCCTGCACAGGCACCTGGCTGACCCTGAGAACGCAGGGCCTTGATCTGGACAGCATAGGCAACAGCTGGTCCCGCAGGGATCAGGGCCCCATTGTGAGCTGTACAGTACCGGCAGGAGCAGACCCCAAAGACTGGGATTCCCAACAAGCACAGCACAGGCCGGGGCTCACCCCAAGTCCACAGACCCCACTGTGGACAGCAAGGCAGGAACTGTGGACAACACGGGCAGGGGCTGGCCCCCGCCGTGGACAGCACGGACACCGGCACCGGCTGTGGAGAGCCCGCAGCGTCGGCCCGCCTGGCCAGCACGCGCACCACGGGCCGCGGACACCGGCAGGCCCAGACCCACTCACCGAGCAGCAGCAGCTTGAGCTCGCGCCGGGCGTCGCGCTTGTCCCGCCGCAGCTGCTTCTCGATCTCGGCGTTGATCCGCTTGGACTCCTTCACCTCATCGCTGAGGCAACACGCCATCATGGACTCCAGAGTCATCGTCCCGGTCCCGGCGCCCGCCGGCCGCCCCCGCCGCCGCCCCCTGACCCGGCCCTCGTCCGGAGCCGCCCCGGCCGCACCCGCCTGGCCTTCGGCGCTGGCCCGTGGGCCAGATCCGCTCGGCTGCCTACGAGCGCCGGCCCCGCTCTGCCGCGTACTCCTGCCCGACCACCCTCCGTCCGCGCCGCCGCCGCCGCTGCCGCTGCCGCCAACCGCAGCCGCCGCAGCCAACCGCAGCCGCCGCGACCGAGAGACAGTACTGCACAACCTAACCCGCGCGGGCACAGAGCCGACTGGCGGGCGGCGCGGCCAATGGGAGGGGGCGGTGGCCCGCGCGCCCGTCGCGGGGGCGGGACTAGCGGTCAGGGTGGGCTGGG